AGAGCATGGTTACAGGGTCAACAACAACAAAGCTGGACTTGGCTTCACACCAAATGCACCGGTGAAGATCTCCAGCAAGGCAAAAAATGCTAGCGCTCAACACATCAGCGTGAGCATTATACAAGATAAAGAGGAGCCTCGAACTGCCCCTCAGACGTCAGTATTCGATAGAATGAATCGTTCAACGACCAGAGTTTCGGCACCTAAACTCATTGGTGGTCAAAACAGAACTTCCGTCTTCAAAAGGCTTAACACGTCAGTGTCTCGAAGCTCTGTTTTCAAAAGGTTATCGAAACCTAAGAAGCAAAGCAATACGACTAGCTTTCCTCCACGACAGTCAGTTATGGAAAGACTTGGAGAAGCCAAAGAGCCTTCCAAAAGGAGAAAGACAACAACAGAAGTAGAAAAGATCGATCGTCTGGCAAAAAAGGATGACGTTCGAAGTTCCATTCCTTCAAGAATGAAGTGCCAAGCAATTTTAGAGGTTAACACAATTGGATCACTGAAAGTGAAAAGGCGCACCATCATCCACACTGGACAATCTTCATGCCAACAAGCTCGAGAGGTCAACACCGAAGAAGAGGCCCAAGACGTCTTCCACATCACAATCCAAGAAGGTGAAGAAGATGAAATCCTCGAGGAAGATGTCATTGCAGCACCGTCACAACTCGAAGCATCGCTTCCTCTATTACAAAGGGACACTCTACCAGCGATCTTTTGAAGGAGTACTTCTGAGATGCTTAGGCGAGGAAGAAGCCAATCAAGCCATGGAAGAAGCACACTCAGGAATATGTGGAGCGCATCAGTCCGGACCGAAGCTTCATTTCCAGCTCAAAAGAATGGGTTACTACTGGCCAAGCATGGTAAAGGACTGCCTAGAACACGCCAAAAGCTGCCAAGCCTGCCAATTTCACGCCAACTTCATACATCAACCGCCTGAACCATTACACCCTACAGCTACTTCATGGCCATTCGATGCATGGGGATTAGACGTAGTAGGACCAATTGCGCCAAAGTCATCTGCAGGAGAAGCTTACATCCTGGCTGCAACAGATTACTTCTCCAAGTGGGTTGAAGCCATACCCCTGAAGGAAGTCAAGAAGGAAACTGTCGTCCGTTTCATCAAGGAACATATCATCCACCGATATGGCGTGCCTCGCTACATTATCACTGACAACGGAAAACAGTTCTCCAACCGACTCGTGGACGAGCTCTGCGAGAAATACAAGTTCAAGCAGCACAAATCCTCCATGTATCATGCTCCAGCCAACGGTCTTGCAGAAGCATTTAACAAGACATTGTGCAACCTCCTGAAGAAGGTAATCGGCAGAACAAAGAAAGACTGGCATGAAAGAATAGGCGAAGCACTTTGGGCATACAGGACGACATATAGAACGCCTACCCAAGCTACACCTTATTCTCTCGTATATGGCATGGAAGCTGTTCTACCGCTCCAAAGTCAAATCCCCTCGCTAAGGATGGCTCTACAAGAAGGCTTGACTGACGAAGAGAATGCAAAGTTGCGCCTTCAAGAGCTGGAAGCCCTGGATGAGAAAAGACTCGAAGCCCAGCAACACTTGGAGTGTTATCAAGCACGACTCTCCAAGGCCTTCAACAAGAAAGTTTTCCCTCGTTCTTTTCAAATGGGAGATCTCGTCCTTTCATTGCGTAGGCCTATCATCACAACTCACAAAACAAAGAGCAAGTTCACGTCAAAATGGGATGGACCATACGTAATACAAGAAGTTTACACCAATGGCGCCTACTTAATCATGGCGGAAGACGGCTTGAAAATCGGCCCTATCAATGGCAGATTCTTGAAGCGCTACTACCCCTGAAAGGCGACAACTCATGCTCTTTGTTCGCACGAGCCTAAACTGCATGAACCAAAGCTCCTGGCCCGCAAGAGCATAAACTGTGTACGGCAAAATCATCATCAAAATTACTGTTAAATTCATCACTCATTTGAACTACGTTATGGCTTGATCTCTTCTTTGGAAGGGTACGTAAGCGGCTCGAACATTCAATTTCGAGTTCAGTCATATCAAAATAAAAAAAAATATAAAAGTTTTATTAAAGAAAGTCAATTTTATTACAAAAGAATAAATAAATAAATACACATGTTATTATGTATTTACAAAAAAAAAAAAAAAAAACAAACAAATGCATTGAGAGAAATAAAGTCCGTTTTTATTTATTTTTTCTGGAAATTTTACATAAATTTGCATTATACATACTTAAAAAAAAAAATCAAATCAAATTTACAATAGGGGATCTTCAAGGACGATCAGGTGCCGCCTCACCACTCGGCAGAGCTCCAGAAATGAGAGGCGCCGGAGGTTGACTGTTTAAAGCCACACCACTCGGCGGAACTCCAGGAAGAAGAGGAGCCAAAGGTTGATCATTTGGAGCTTAATTACGCGGTACAGCCCCAGAAGACGAAGGCAAATGCTGCTGGAACAAACCCACAAACCTCTGATGATCAAGTAAAATCTGACCATCAGATTCCTGCATCTGGTTAATCTTCCTCTTCATGTTTGTCGCATATCTATGTGCGAGCTTATGCAACTGTTTATTCTCCTGCTTGAGCCCTCTAATCTCCTGTTTGAGACTCATCACTTCAGCCGCCAATGATTCAACTTGATGGGTTCGAGCAAATAGGCGTTGGGCCATATTAGACACAGAACCTGCACACTGCACACTGAGAGCCAGAGAATCCTTAACAACCAACTCATCAGACCGTTTGGAAAGTAGTCTGTTATCTCTGTGAGTGACAAGGTTTCGGGCCACCACCGCAGTGGTCATATCATTCTTCACCACCGAATCCCTAACGGTAAAAGGACCAGTAGGGGATATGAAGGATGGGCGCCATATGTTATCTGGAGAAGACGGGACTACCTCTTCACCAAGGTTCAAATCAAAACGACGGTCGGAGGGTCCAGACATTTTCAAAGGTGTTAAAGAAAGAAGAGGTCGGACAAATCAAGATCTTAGAAGTGCAAGAAGGGAGTTTCTACAAGCGAAAATTCAAGTGTGCTTTGAAACGAACTGCGTGCCTCTATAAAGATCAACACTCGACGGGATTTCAAAGATCGAAAAGGCGAGCTCAGAATTCGAAGAAACCAATTCACAAATACATTTCTCTACTCCTAAAATGGAAGAGAATACTCCCCACACATCCAAAATCCTTGAAGCTTTGAAACTCTAAAGCTTTCAAGCATCCAACCTCCCAAATTCAAGCAACTCTCGAAGGATCAAGAAAGCCCTCTTCGTTCTTCGTCAAATCCTCCTTCAAGATCAAGCCCTAACGGCCCTTGAAGAAATTTCTCCTTCAAGATCAAGCCCCAACGGCCCTTGAAGAACTTCCACCAATTCAAGATCAAGCCTCGACGACCCTTGAAGAAAGTGTTCAACAAATCCACACAACTGTTCATCCTAAGATCAAGCCCCGACGGCCCTTTTAGATCAACAACATCACCAAATCCACATAACTGTTCATCCTAAGATCAAGCCCCCAACGGCCCTTTGGATCAACAACATCAACAAATCCACACAACTGTTCATCCTAAGATCAAGCCCCAACGGCCTTTGGATCAACAACATCAACAAATCCACACAACTGTTCATCCGAAGATCAAGCCCCAACGACCCTTTGGATCAATAACATCAATAAATCCACACAATTGTTCATCCCAAGATCAAGCCCCGACGGCCCTTGGATCAACAATCATCCATCTTCAAGATCAAGCCCAAAAGCCCTTGAATATCCGTTCATCACTATTCTTCAAGATCAAGCCCAAAATCCCTTGAAGATCCGTTCATCACCGTTATTCAAGATCAAACCTTAACGGCCCTTGAAGAAACACTCATCCTCAAGATCAAGCCCCAACGGCTCCTTGAAGATCCGCTCAAATCCACCTTCAAAGATCAAGCCCACGGCCCCTTGAAGAAACTTCCCACAGTTCATCCAAGATAAAGCCTCGACGGCCCTTGGATCAACGAAACATCCACAAATCAACACCTTACGGAGATCGAATCAGAGGATCAAAGTTAAAAGAGAACCGATAAGGCAAGTGAAAATGATACCTTGCAGCATGTGGAGACAACGTGCAGAAGAAACAAGCAGAGAAGAATGCAGTCTTCACAGTCAGCTCAGCAGAAGGAGTCCGAGCTGAGGAACTCAAGAAGCTGCCACATTTGCCTGAAGAAACAAGCAGAGAAGAATGCAGCCTGCACAATCAGCTCAGCAGAAGGAGTCTGAGCTGAAGAACTCGAGAAGATGCTACATTCTACCAGAATAATAGATAAGACAAGGGAAAATGATACATTGAAGCATGTGGAGACAAGCACAACAAAGCACGTGTCGATTCATCCGCTACTTCTTCAAAATCAAAAGTATCTCATATCATCAGGTTTGCAATCACTCTGGGTGGAGGACTCGTTTTGACCCTCAAATTCTTGGGTCGACTTGCTAGGCGTTGTGGGCTGCAGGTGCCGTTTCACCACCCTTGAATCAAGTCCTTAAAGATCAAGTCACCAACTGGAAGAAGAATTCTAAACTTAATCTAGGTTGAAGCATGTGTTGATAAGTTAAAGTTATTTTTGCATGAACACAAGCATGATGATTAACCACAATGACAGGGATCAATTTAATATCAGCTTCCTGCTAACCATGCATGATGCATGTTAATTGAATTATTATGCTTGCGCTTACTAAACTAGTCCACAACACGGGGTGTGGAATACCTTAGGCTTTGGCAAAAAAGAAAAGTGATAATTGTCTTATAATTAGAGGTACTGACTAGTCTCATTTACGAGAGGTTTATTTTTTAAATATCAAAGTGAGCAAGTTTAATAGGATACACGGGGAAACGAAACTGGAGCTAAACACAAACTCTCGGATGCTTTAAATATCTCTCTCTCTCTCTCTCTCTCTCTCTCTCTCCCTCTCATCTTCTTCAGAAACCATAAATGATATGCAAGAAAAGTTTACCACTGAATTTGCAGAAAGAGCGAGATAGACATTAATTAATTGGTAATTAAGTAAAGAGTTGTCATCAAAAGAAACATGTCACTAACAGAAATGCAGTGAATTCAGTGAACCCTATATCCTCTTGCCTCAGTAATTTAAGTGTTAGTTACGGAAGCAACGCATTGCCCTAGCTTCGTTTTAATGGTCAAAAACAAAGTCCGGCAGCTGCCCGGGAATCTTCCCAACTGATGATACACCAATATTGCTATTCTTTATGCAAAGTCTCAACTTTCAAATGTCACGATAACAGTGACGCTTGAGAGGTCTAAGTTTCATAAGCAAGACAACTGAACTCGCAAAATGGTTTCTGTTTTGGCTTGTTTTCCGTTTTCAGTCTTTCCTTGCCTGCTATATGACGAGACGCCCCCTTTAACCATTCTGAACAGGCTAGGTTCCTGCCCATCCATTAAATGTTAGGGGAACTCATATTTTGAACTGGAAACTTTCAAATGAAGACTACAAACCACCGCCGCACAAAACCAGTGTTCAACCCACTACCAAAAGGACATTTCAAATTTATTAAATACCGATCAGATAATCAATGTTTACCTTGAATCTTTCTCAGGACTTTATTCTAGACCAATACTTTCCCATGGTATTGTCAGCATCCTCGTCCATTCGTACCAGTTCCTAAACCACAATCACCTTCGCATTTCAGTAGCACATCATGCTTCACTTTGGAACTCTCTTTTTCTCCGCAACCATCAAACTTTAATTTCAGAAATCTCACTCTTGTAAATCCCTTCATTTGATATCCATATAATGGATAGCAGATCATTATTTCAGAACTCTGTAATACAGTAACCGCAGTCTTGTCTGGCCTTCCCTGCATGAAGGTTAAATCAAATCTGTTAATACGTAGTAATGTTCACCCAATGAAAAAGAATCAGGAAAGAAAAAAGTGGTGGTCATACAGCTAACCCTGACAATTGACATCATTGAAAAAGGAATCACTCCACTAATCACCTGTCTAATGAGTTTCTTATGCCATTTTGTCAAAAGTGGTTCTGATTGGTCGGTTTCACAAATTCTGTTTAAACATTATTGACACCCCATTTATTTCATTCAAAATATTTCCTGGTGATAAGCTTGCCAACGAAATTATTTTGTTAAGAAATTTATTTCAGTAATGAGACTTAAGAGACAGGAACCTGTTCACGAACACTAGCCAAATATGATGACAACCCTGTACCAATAAGCTATGTCCATAATCAACACAACGAGCGTTATCATAATGAAATATCCATCCGCCAGAAATCCCTGTCTCAAATTATCCAGTTACTAAAAATTTGATATATTTGAATGCTAAAGATAAGAGTTAATGCTGTAAAAAGCACATTACAAATAATTTTAAAGGGTCACACAATACTTACTAAAACGGGTGGAACGCATTGTTCCACGGGACAAATTTTGGGTGAATTTTTGTTCCACCTCACCCCCTGGAACGACTCGTTCCACATCCGTGGAACACAAAATTATAACCTCTCCGTCTCCTCCTTCTTCCTCCTTGTTTCCATCTGAGGGCATTTTTGCTCCCTCTCCGTTCCGTCCCATCCTGTCCCATTCCGTTCCGTCCCGTCCCGTCTGCATACCAAACGATACCTTAAGGAACAAAAGCTAGATACTGCCATATCCCTCAAAGAACATAAAATTTCTTTACTTGACACCTCAATGATGTCAATTCAGAAATGCCATCCCTTAGCACGCCAAAATCTTTGTGCAGTGTCATAACGACGAGCATCTTTAACTTTTAAAAAGAGCCTATAAGCGCGCTCTACTTTATTTGAAGCAAGTAGTTTGCTATTTAGTTTGCTATAAATAAGCCTGCTTGGGCAAAAACCTTTCTGCACAGACTCTTCCATGACAAGTACAGCACTTTCAAGCTGCCCATTGTTGCAAAGTCCATTAATTACATAATCATAAACTTCCATATCCGAATCATATCCGCATTCTTGCATATCCTCCCAAATGTTTAGCAACATTCCACATTTGCCAAACCTAGAAAGTCGCATAAGCAATAGCTTATAAGCACTCGATGATACTCTGCATCCAACCTTTCTTGCCTTCTGGTAGATCATCATCGCAGCATAGGGTGGACCGTAGCTACATAAGGGTTCAATAAAGGAGGTTATTGTCCCTGTACTGGGAAGAAAACCTCGACCTAACATCTCATCAAACGTTTCAAGAGCATCAGCCACTTTCCGGGCTTTAAGGAAAGCATCAATTAATTTGGTATAAGTATCAATATTTGGATCACAATTATTACTTGGCATACCCTTATAGTACTTCCGACATTCATCAAACCCTCTAACAGAGATAAAGTTTGAAATCATGGCATTATAAGCTCTGGCGTCTGGCACACAACCTTTTGTCTTCATGCTATCAAATATCTCAACAGCATCATCAATCCGACCAGCTCTCCCTAAACCCTCAATAATGAAACTGAATGTTGAATTATCGGGACTGAACCCATCTGCAACCATTGCTTCCAAAATCCTCACCATTTCACTAACTCTTCCATTTCTTGACCATCCACCAATGACAATATTATACGTAGTACCATTGAATTGTATCTTCCCCTTGATGGAATTGAGAAATGAATTTGCAGCACCTACATGAGACCGCTGGCACAAACACTGTACAAGCATATTCAAAGACTCAGTATCACAATCCAAACCAACTTCTTCCAAGTTTCTGAACACTCGAATTGCCTTGGACACATATCCAGCCCTCACGAAACTATCCATTACAATCGATATGGTCTCTAAATCGGGACTTATCCCTCGAGCCCTCATGTTATGCATAATGTGCATCATATGTGTAAAGAACTTTCTTCTGCCTAATGCTTTGAGGATTATGTGATACGTGTGGATATCTTTCGCTATGGCGGGCTTCTTAGTCACCCAATTAAAGAACATAAGCATCGCTTCGCTGCTTAAATTCCCTCTATTCACTACCTGTGCAACAACATCAACACTCAAATCGACACCAACATTGTCCAAAGCATGCTCAATTGCAGTTGTACCCCTCAATTTCTGAAGAAAAACACCACGCAGTTTCTCATCCGGCAACAAGAAACCGTCAGGGGCCCTAACATTTATCTGCTTCTCCGAATTACTCGGTTCCAATGGTTTCGGAGCCGAATTATTAAGAGGAACTGGTAACAGATTAGAGAGTTGATCAAGAACAAATCGTTCGTGGGGACTAGATTGGTTGTTGATCGGACGGTCATCATGCAACGCATTGGATTGAGCATAAAGAGCTGAGAAGAGAGATGATGAAATTGGGGAAGGAAGGTAAGGGAAAGAATACCTGGTGGATGGGCCCCTGCTGAGCGATCGCAGCGATTGCAAAGCACCGTGAAACGCCATGAAATTTGAAATGGGGCGGCGGAGGAGTCGGTGGATTGCTGGATACTGTTATGATGGTATTTTATATATATTTTATACCTCTTTTACCTATAACTTAGTCACGGGTTTATAGTAAATTGGTGAGTTTGACGTGTTTTTGTGCGATTTTTGTAGAAACATAATTTCTGAACAAAACAAAACAGGGAATTGGACGTTTAATTTGGAGAAAATCAAAGAATTGCCAAGTGGGTAGGAGCACCGAGCAAGGAATGGAGTGGTGCATTGGACATTAAAGGCGGCCCACTTAAGCAGCCCAACTAACTAGGCAGTGCACGTTTAGGGATCGGTACCGTTTGGTACGCAAACGGGACGGAACAGGATGTAACGGATGATGTAAATATTGAAAAAAATAAGGAGAAATTTTGTCATAAAATGTTATAAATTTGTGTTCCACGAATGTGGAACGGGTCGTTCCAGGGAGAAGAGGTGGAACGAAAAATTAGCCAAATTTCGTCCCATGGAACAACCCATTCCACAGTTTTTAGGCACCTCAAACGTGAGACGGAACTGCTCGTCCTGTTCCGTCCCGTCCCGTCCCGTCCCACGTACCAAACGGTACCGTGGTACAATGAATTGGAATCAATTCCTTTGTGGTGAAATTAAGAAAATAAAATAAAAAGAGACATATAAAAGGGAGGAACCTAGCCCGCAAGAAAGGGAGGGGAAGGAGGAGATATCTCGCGCACATAGACAGACTTTCAGTTAGAGAACTTCACATAAAGTTGCAAGTTCCCAGGGCTTATCACACACGGATACGGAATTGGAGTTTTGGGTTTCTTTATGTCATCGAATTCATCCATGTTTGTCATTAGTTTAATCATGAACTAGGTCCTTTTGCTAAGACTATGGTGTACTTTTATCATAAACATCTAATTCTTGTTATTTTATATTAATCTTAGTTAATTTCCATGTTAAGTAATTGTTGTCGTGCTTTATTGTTATCAAATAACTTATCATTATTTGCGTGGAGATCTAAATTGTGACTGACAGGTTGAGTTTAGTAGATTGTTTCACATAACAATTGCCATGAATTACATAATTGAGTAAATATACTGGTTATGATTTGTGTAGTATTGTGTAATTATCCAATTAGCGTAAAGGATTTCGATTATCTATATATGTGGTTAGACATAGCATGGGTAAATAGTTAGAAACACGGTTAGTATAATATTGACGAATTAAGGGATAATTGCTAGCAACATGGGAATAATTTGATATTAATATGAATAACAGGAATAGATGGGATTGAGAATGAGGAACCTAATATCCTAGTGCTTCAATATATTAATCTTTCATAATTCATTCACTTTTACTTCATGTTCGATCAATTGATATTTTCACTTTCGTTTGGTTTCTTTGCATATTTGAATTTGTCAATGTAATCTTTCTTTTATTTACATTTAGTTTGAAGTTAATCTTAATAGTAAATTTAAGTTAATTCGATCTTTGTTTGAACGACACTCTACTTATCACTATATTATTTGAACGATGTTGTACACTTGCAATTATCAAAAATGAGATCAACCAGGAGTTGAGGAGGAGATTGCTATTGGACTTAGACCTGGGTTCGTGTAGTATTTTTGGGGTAACCCAAACAAAAACACCACCACCCTATCGAGAACCCTAATCCCCAATTTCCTTTAAAAAAAAAAAAAAAAAACTCCCCCCTTGACCGCTCCAAATCTCGATTCTCACTTGCCTCGAACACAATTTGTTGCCTCAACCCTCTCGAACCTCATCGGTGTGCCTCCGCTACCTTTATCTAGACCTGTAAACGGGTCGGGTTTATTGGGTTTGGGTTGGGTTCAACCCGACCCGTTAAGTTAACGGGTCACCCGAACCCAACCCGTTAAGCTAACGGGTCACCTGAACCCGACTCGTTAAGCTAACGGATCACCCGTTTCACCCGTTAACAATTATTATTATTATTTTTTTGCATAAAGTTTATTTTTTATTATTAAGACTTTACTAAAATTACTAAAATATCATCAACTAACGGGTGCTAACAGGTGTTAATGGGTCCTAACGGGTCTAACGGGTTGATCAAAGTGACCCGTTATTTAACGGGTTGTTAACGGGTTCACCCGTTAGCGACCCGACCCGTTAAGCATCCATCCAAATACAAATATTAACGGATTGGGTCGGATCGGATTAACGGGTTGGGTCCAAAATGCCAGGCCTACCTTTATCCCCATTCATATCGTATATGACTCCTCGAACGGCTCTTCCGCCTGGTTCGGCCGAGTCAGGGGCTGAGTTGTCCCGACAAGTCAGGGACTAAGTTCACTGCCGATTCCGACGACGACGATGACAACGACGACTCCAAAAAAACGCAGGGAAGACCGAAAGGTCGACCTCACCAAGCCCGTCAGTTTCGTCTCTACCCAGGAGGTTGACGACAATCCATAGCAACAAAACGATGATAAGCGGCCTAGCCTCGGCGCCACCACTGGGTTTAGATTTTAAAAATCAGAATTCGGATCCGTCGGGGGGCGAGGAGGAGGAGGGGGACGGCGAGCAGAGTTTTTTAGCACGGAATTAGAGGAGGTTCTAAAGAACGTTAAATTGCAGGACTAGGAGCAAAGGGAGGCGGTGGCGGCGGGGATGGGGTCTGGGAGCCTTCAGGGCATTGGTATGAAGATGAAGGTTGTTCGTGGCAGGAATTTCCGTTGGGGATGTTTCCTGGCCGACGAGCACACAGCTCCCCTGGAGGTTGGTGCCGGTTAAGGGCTGCTATCGGGCTTCTGCTTCGTTTCTGGGCGTTGTCGGGCAAGTCTCGTCGGGCAGGTCTCGTCGGGCAAGACTCTTCGGGCAAGGCTCTTTAGGCAAGGCTGAAAGAGAAGGACAGCGTTAACTTTGAGAGGTGCCTTTGTGGGGCCTTAGGTATAGGCCTTGAGGCTCAATCAAGGTTAACATTTAGGTGCTCAGGCGTGCCACTGCCATTTTTAGCATGCCATATGTAAAATGGTTGTCGTTCTTTCATTGTATATATGTATGTATCCAAGAAACCGTGTTAGTTATAATAGGTGCCTTTGTGGGGCCTTAACTATAGGCCTTGAGGCTTCCCATCAATAACTAAACCAGTGCTCGAACGCATCATATTTATTCTCGTGATTGTAGAAGTTTTCTAACTATTATATTTCTGATTACCCGAATCCAAGGAATAGAACGAACCCAAATGGGTGCCTTTGTGGGGCCTTAGGTGTAGGCCTTGAGGCTTCCCATCAGAGTTCATTCTTTACTTAAACTCTTGAGATCGCTGAATGGGATGAATCCAAATGGATGCCTTTGTGAGGCCTTAGGTGTAGGCCTTGAGGCTTCCCATTAGAGTCCATCCCATGCTTAAGCGTTCTATGATAATCATGATATAATAGAAAGAAAACTAGAAGGTAGGTCGATTATTTGCGCCCCAAGTAACTTCGGACTTCTCGTTTATCAAGGATTGTCGTGGATGGGTTAAGTCCACATAAAGTTCTTTTTTATGCCTTGAGGCCAAGGACTTTTAAACTAATCAGATTCATAGCCTGCGGGCTTAGGACTTAGATCTGATTTAAGCATTGAAGATATATTTAAATCGGATCCAAGTATTGAGAAAGCTTTGTCATCATGATTTTGCTAGAAACAACTTGCATATAACTAAAAATATACAACATATTGCTAGACTTTAAAGAAAGAGAAGACAAAGACAGAGCAAAGCAGGTCGGGCAAGATTATACCTTATCAATTAAGGCTGATCGTCTTGCAGGTCCCTGTCTTTGTGGTTCTGTCAAAGGTCTGAAAGCTTAGAGGTGGAGAGGGGAAAGGAGAATACAAAAGGGTGAATCGATACTACAACAAGTTAGAACAAGGTAGCAGAGCTATTACAACGTTTAGGAGAAAAGATTATCCCGAGGGGGATGAAGGCTTGGGCTGACTACAGCTTCGTTTTGAAAGGCAAATCTGGCTTTTTGAGCAGAGTTTGTGCTTTTGTTTGTTTGTTTGAGTGTCCTTAATCCTGTCTTCTCTTCCTCCTTTTATAGACAACTCGGTTTGGCTCCTATAGCGACAGCTTTGCCCGAATGCGGTCTAAGGGTGATGACTCATCAGCTTTATTACATGTAATGCCACCATAAAGTACTTTATGGGCTGTGCAGTCTGATCAGTCTACACCACTTGGTCCTTGGGTAGGTAAGCAAATGGCCCTTTTCCTGCTCCCTAGGTTTCATCCGGACCTTCTGTTGGGCCGACTCCACCTTTGGGCCTAAAGTTCAGTTTTAACCCAAACAGTGCCCCCTTCAATTAATGTGAAGGTTGGAATCCCAAGCGTCGACATTGATTGAATACCCGCATGCATGCATATCCGTCTTTGGGAATTGGTGCTTCCGGTGCCCCTTGCTCTTCTCACGACCCTTGAACTGTCCCTTGAGCCCTATAAAATTTAGCTCGGGACTTCTCCAATCAAACTACCAACTTCCCTTTGGCTCTGGCCTTCAACTTCCATCCCTTTTGAGCGTTCTTGTTTCCTCTTAGCAACTGAGAAATGGGTTCCTTAGGTTTTGAGTGGAGTTTCCTAAAACTCCCCTTTCGTGAGAAAATGAGGTTTCACCTGATGATTGCTATCTCCAACACCCTTGGTCGACCGCCCCTCTATCTCCAACACCCCTGGTCGGGTGGCTTCCTCCTGGTGGTTTGCCTTCCCGCAAGTTGCGGTGATAAGTTGGGCTTCACCATCACATATGGTGACAGCCTCGTCGGAGGATCCTCTACCAGGCCCATGTTGGCCGCACAACCCGATCACCCGATTGGGTTCCATCCATGAAGACGTCGGGCAATTAGCTGAAGACACCACCATACTCAGAGAGAATCAAATGTAATACATAGGATTGGAACTCTGTAAATTTCATCAATTTTTCGACATGAAACAAATACTATTTTAGCAATTTCTGTCTTTCTGCCTTCTTTGAATGTTTGATGAACACAAAACACTGCATATGAGATTCCCGAAGCTCGCTTCACTCTGCCCCCTCTTCAATGTAACAATCCCTGACATCCCATAATGTAGGACAATATTTCTTTAAGAATCTAACATTAATGGGATG